AACGCGCCAATTCCATCCCAGACATTATTGTGAACTGTGAGGTTATGTTCTAGGCTAGCAACCTATTTGGTCTGCTGTGTCCACAAGTCCAGTGACGTTTAGAGTTCCCTAGTAATAATTCGTATGGAAATTTGTTACTTAAATTTGTTACTGTTGTGTAAGTAAAAATATATATATATACGAATTACAAAAGGTGTTTTATTGAAACAAATGAACAAACATGCAATGAAATTTAAAAGGCTTAACGTTGTAATGAAAGGACTGACAATGGAGTGTGGGGGTTGAAATTAAAATGAAATAGAAGATAAGTTTTATAAGAAATTTTAAGTATTATAGGAAATGTTGATGTCCCAAGTAGCAGAAAAACGAGAAAAAATTGTTTTAATATCAATTTTAAACTTATATTAAAACTGTTATAATATGAGTATAGTTGACAACCGGTAAAATTTAAAATATTTCAAAGATTGTTTTACAACTATATTGCAACAGTTTTACAACAATTTAAAAATTGACTTTGCACCAAGTTGAAAATTGTTTTCACATAGGACCAGCCATCCCATGGGCATATCCTAAACACGAAATGATAAAGATTTTGTGTGAAATGCATATATATCAGTTGAGCATTTTGATTAAATAGTTCATAAAAACAAATTTTGAGAAAAAACTAGAGTCAAAATTATCTTCCCCAGCGAGTCTTGAACCCGGGACCTCCAGACTGTGAATTCCTTACCTTAGCACTGAACTATCTGTGGTTGTTGATAATTTATGTTTTCAATCGGTCAAAGAGGAGCGGACAGTTGCAATGGTTGCAATAAATACTTTTGATACTATGATTATGTTTAGGCCTCAAGTTGTTGAATTGATTTTCTGGGAGTTGAGGAGGATACCGGTATTTGAATGTAGATGAGTTAATTAACATTGCTAATGTTATTATAATTATTAAGATTAATTCATCTTCCCCCCTTAAATTGTTCAACTACAAAAAATTTGCTCAAATAACTGAAAAAAAATAATTGCATTATTATTATATGTTAAGCAGGTGTTCCATCACTGTATCTAGTATCACAACTATCACAATTAACGTCATCGGTAACTTATCACAAAAATCTGTAACTTATGCATTAAACAGATTGCAAATAACTTCATTTTGTGATGTTCTACAAGCCTAGTGTAAGTGTTTCACAAATTGTATGTTTGTCAAGTGTTGTTTTGGTTAGGCCTATGCCATCCACCATGGTTGTAAAGTTGAACAGTATTTACGTTGGTAAGTTATTTAGAAAACTTGATCTTCAACTAATGTTTCCAACATGTGTTGGATCCGATTTACCATTCATTAATGTAATTACTTAATTTGTTTCATTTTTGAGTAATCTCAGAATTGATAATGTTACACCATGTACTTATAACAGATCAATTTAATTAAAGATATTATTCACCCTGTTTTTGCTTATTTTTCTTGAGCATTGTTCCACTATTTTTCTTTGGTACAACACTTTTTTACTCTTCGCATTTTTGCGCTAAACTTTCTCGTTTAGGAGCTGCATGATACAAAAAGTACACCGGAAGTCATTTTTTCATAGGCTGTATCTCCTAAACTAGTGGGTTTATGGAATAAATATCACGAATAAAAAAGTTTTTAAATTGCATGTTCTATCCGACAACATGATAAACTATAGGGTTTTTAAGAAATTTCAATTATTGCTTTAGAAAATTTTGTATGATCCTTGTTCCACTTCAAAACTTTTGTTTCAAAACTGATTATTTTCCCATAGCATTCTCTATGATATAAAATTGTAACAGGCTAAATAACCACCCTAGATAAACCCACTAACAACGAAGAGCAGTGAGCAAAATCAAGTGTTCTAAGTAAATAATGGAAGTAACTTTAGTAGTACGTTTTCTGTGCTTTAGTGCACTCCGTCACTCCGAGCAGGAGCAGGGTGGAATCGCCGTCGAGTCCACTCCACTGACAGTTCGTTCATCGCCAGTGCTAATGCGGCGTTGCCTTACATTGCTTAGCGCCTGGCGAGGGTTCGGCAACACCGCGCCCGCGCCGTGAGTCACTTATCGATCGATACATGCCTGTGACGTCGAGGAGACTGCCACGCACGTAGTTCAACAAATGTCCGCTGCACTCTACGCGCGCTAGTGTACCAATTTCGGCCATTTCGGGATTTTGTTTTACTGGGACCCACTCTTAACCACCATGTTGTTTCGTAGCTAGCAACACATCCAATTGGTTTGTGCTATTCCTAAATAATCAGGTCCTCTAATTTAAGAAAATGTGAATACTATTTAAATTTGAAAGTTTTAAAATCTACTATGGTAATCATTGAATTAAAATCTCTTTAATTCAAATTCCTAACGTTTATCTCGGTTAAATTATTCAACTACCTTTCAAGCTGTGACAATTGATATCAGAATATATCAGAATATCAGAATACTTTATTCTTGAACATAGAGTACACTACAGAATAGGCGTCAAACATTACAGAGATTTAATTATAAAACAGCATAAAGTTGTTGGGCTTTGAGGCGCTGTTGGTAGTGAAGGTTATTACTACGAGGGTTGTTTAGTCCTCACTGGAACATCGGTGATGTTCTCCAGTTCATGAACTCCTCAACTGTGTAGAATGGTCTCTCCACAAGCCAAGCCGATAAGCGTTGTCTCGTGCTGCTTATGCTGGGGCCTTTTATTGTCTCTGGGAGCAGGTTCAGGAACTTCACTCCCATATAGGAAGGCTTTTCTTCAAAAAGAGTTAGATGATGTACTGGAAGTGTGTAATTCATAGCGTGTCGGGTGTTATGGCTGTGCCTATCCATCCCTCGTTGGAGTTGTAGCCTGCTTGCGTGAGTAACCACAGCTAGGATGTACAGGCTTGTAATGGTTAGGATTTTTAGCTCACTGAATTTCGGTCTGTGACTTTCTCTCTTGACCATGACTGCTAATATTCTTACTGCTTTTTTCTGGTGGATAAGCACACGTTGGAGGTTGGTTGCCGATGAGTTTCCCCATACTTCAAAGGCCATATCGAAGATGTGATTCAAACAGTGAGTGGTAGGCAATCTTGGCTATGTTGATGTCACTTATGGTTTTTATCCTTCTTATCACGTAGACCCTGCTACTCAGCTTACTACACAGGCTGTCAATATGGGCAATTGGTCCATGTCAGTTTCTGGTCTATTATTAAACCTAAATACTTTGCTTCTTCTGGGCCTTCGATGTCTGGGATCCTGCATACCCCACTATTTCTCCTGCCAAAGACCAGTTGTTGTGTTTTCTCTTCATTAACTACTAAGCTGTTGTTTTGGTAATATTGTATTGCCATGTTTATGGAAACAAACGAGCTGATTTCAAGGGCTTCAGGGTTTTTTCCCCAAAGAGGAGTACGGTATCATCCGCATACATAAGACTCTTGCTGTAGTCTTCCAAATAATGAGGGAGATCATTTGTAAACAAGATGAAAAGGACCGGGCCCAGCACAGAACCCTGTGGAACACCACTTCCTACAGGTAATAACTTCTGATCTTACTGTTTGTGTAGATCCCTTTTCAGTGTATTTAAGTTCAACCATCTGACTCCTTCCAGTTAAATAGCTCTTGAACCATTCTGCAGTTTTCCCACCAATTCAAATTTTTCTCAACTTGTTACACAGTTGTGTATGATCTTAGCAGTCAAATGCTTTGCTGAAATCAAGTAAAATTGCGGTTGGTATGTTTCCTTCTTCAAAAACGAAAATATAATTAGATGTCTTAGAAGTCTACAATCTAAATAATCTGCAAATATATTATAATAACTTGTAATAGGCCGTAATAACTAAAATAGCAACGCAATAGTGAAAATGCCACCAGAAAAGTACAGTAGAACCTCGATAACAAGACTCTCATGTGGATCATTAAAAACAGACTTGTTATCAAGGTCGACTTCTTATCGAGGTTTGCAATAACATGTGATTAGGTCTAAAATAAAATTCAAGGGTTTAGAAAATTACACTTGTTAAAAAGGTTGACTTGTTATCGAGGGTCTTGTTATCAAGGTTCCACTGTAATTGTTGCCAAGCTACTTTCGTTCCTGACTGGTCGTGGAGTTGTAGAGTTATACCGACGATCGCGGCTCCAGCGTCAGTAGCTCCAAGCAAAACAGGACTAAGCAAAACCCGCAAGAACAGTGTCCGGAGACTGCCGCTTGGCGACATTCGCACCTGTCGCTCTAAGCAAAACATAACTTTATACGTATAAACCAACTGCAGCTTGCACATGAAACACATTTTCATTATGGTCACCCTTGATTATGTAGGCAAATATGTAATTTTTAGTTCAAAGAGAGGAGCCTATCGAGGTGGCGATTTGCTGTAGTGTCAAGTTGTGGGTTGCATCGACGTTAAACCGCCACCTCTCACGCTCGCGTCAAAGTGTCACCCCAACAACCTGTTACCTCCTTCAAATGGTGACTGGTTGTCGGTGACGATGCACGTCAACTCACGTCACCTCAAAACCTGTTTTTTTTGGCGTGACAGTTTGAGGGGGTGACACCTAGTCATGGTCCCTTTTTCTCTAGTAATATTTGTTAAAAAAAGAAGTTCCAAAACTGCCTTGAATGGCAACCTTGTGCACACACCCAATAAAAACACATATTTTATGAGAACAAAATAATAAGAACAAAAATATATTTATGGTAGGTTATTGTAGGAGGACGAATTGCTTAGACTCTAGACAGAAAATATATGAGCCTTCCAATGTTAAGCTGGGTTTTCCTAGGCGCGGAGAGCGGAGAGAGGAACACGGAGAGCGGTTTTAGAGATTAACATGGTGTTCCGCTCCGCTTCTAGGAAAACAGTAACATTAACTTACCTAAGACAAGTGAAGTCCGCTCTCCGCGTTCCTCTCTCCGCTCTCCACTTCCGCGCCTAGGAAAACCCGGCTTTATTAATATTAAGGGCCTACAAATTTCAAAATTTAGTTGTATAAATCTTTTCTCATTAAAATGTTGTGTGTTGCAGGACAACACATAATGAACTGGAAAAGAATAGGTAAGTATTGTATTAAAGTAATCAACAACAATAAAAAAATACCCCCGCCACAGCAAACCTGCAGACTAAGCTAATTTTAATTTGTCCGATTGGATTTGTACTAAAATATTTCTCTGAACTAGACATATTTATATTATGCCCTATTTAAATATTATTAGATTTATCAAGTACATACGTTTGCTACTATGGGGAAGGAAAATAGTGGGGTTTTTTTTACCAAATGTTAATTGTATAGGATGAATAAAATAAATTTTCCAAATTCGTTCAAAATCTATATATTAATTACGGAAGCCGATTCTTTGCGTCAAAATTGTGGGAGACTGGGAAGTCGTAGAATGACGAAAGAGGGTTAAAGGTTAAAGGTCTCGATCCCATGACGGCAGGAAAAAAAATTGAAATTCCCAAAATGTTAACACAAAATTAGATATAACGTAAAATGTTCTCCTTAATAATAGCATTAGAAGCCATTTACTGCTGATTTTTGTTCTTCAATACAGCTGATCGTGATTTATCATGAAGCCAGTAAGCAATACATTACATTTGGATTATTCATTTGCCAGTGAATTCTGCAATGTACTGTATATATCTATACTAATATACAGGGTGTTTCAGAATTTGTATCGGATACTTTAGGATATTTATCCTGGGTAAGAAACAAATCCAAATATCATATTTAAATTGACCGTGAGAATACACTTTAAAAGTAAATGTAAAAAGTTAGAGGAACTGACTACATTGAATAAACAATAAATATATCTTCAGACAAAATAAAATCAGCTGATTATTTTGTAAACAAGTACGTTGACTTAGACCACAGCTGATTTAAAAGGATTGGGTGTTTGTTTAGTGTGAATTTTAAAGACAGTAAAAAGGTGTGCAATTTTTAAGCCATCCTAATGATTGATAATTGATAAAAAATATACTTTTGGGGTTATGTAATATTTTATTATTGTTTGAAATAATCTAAAATCGTTTAAAAATAACTTGCAAAGCGGACGGAGACTGTTGCATTGTTGCGGCAGACTTAGACCGCATGCCTCGGCATGCACTACATCTAACTTCCAGCGGTCATGTATTACTAAAGCTGCCATATCTCAGTTAATATTCATCCAATCTTTAAGATTAAGGTGTCAATCGATTTGTAATTAAATCTTCTTAAAAAAGGTAAATTCTTTCTAAACTCAACGGTTTTTGAGTTATTTAAGAAACAAAATTTTTAATGGCCGCCATTTTGTTTTATGAATTTAAAAAAATGTTCATAATTTTTTTGTAGCTTTGTCTAGTTGTCATAAATGTTTTTGCAAAGTTTCAATTTCGTATCTCTAACCACTTTTTAGAAAACAATTAATAAGCGAAAAAAACAAAATGGCGGCTGTGTGAGTAACTAAGGACTTCTGGTCAATTTAAATATGATATTTGGATTTGTTTCTTACCCAGGAACAATACCCTTAAAAATCCGACACAAATTCTGAAACACCCTGTATAAAAATGAGATGGTGTGTGTTTGTGTCTGTCTGCTACTCAATAACGCAAGAACCACTGAACCCATTGAAATAAAATTTTGTATGAAGGTAGCTTATATACCTGGTTAACATATAGGCCTATTCCTGTAATCATATTTCCCTTGGGCTTCGCCCCATCGGCTTCCAAATTTTTAATGTTTACATTTTGAAAGAGTGTAAATAGTCAAAAATATTAATTGAAGTCAGCTGTAAATACTATAATTTGACAATTGAAACAGCAGAGGTTAAGAGGTACAGGTTCTGCTCCCAACTCTATCCCAATTCTAAAGTTTTATGATTATGAGAATAGTTTAATTATAATTTTTAAGAAACATTATTTTTAATGAAAACAGAAGGATCATTACAATGTATAAATGTTTTGAAATGATTTTGATATGGTAGCTTCTTTTTGTTTACAAATTTGAACTGATAAACAAATGTTTGGATTAGGATTTTAATAGGTTTTAAAAACTACTAGCTGGCCCGACAGACATTGTCCTGTCCCAATGTGGTTTTATGTCAAATGCTCGTTCATTTTCAAGATGAGCTCGTTCGCATGGCTCAATCACGTCCTGGTTGAAGTTCGTTCGCTACGCTCACTCACCTTTATAGGTTGGAGCTCGTTCGCTGCGCTCACTTGCCTTCAGGTGAGCTCGTTCGCTATGCTAACTCGCATCCAGGTTGAAGTTCATTCGCTACGATCACTCACCTTTTGGTTGCAAATTAGCTATTGTCATAAATTTAAAAAGAATAATAGTGCTGCACCCTGTTGGTAAACCTATTAACTTTTTAATTCTACTAGGTGAAACACGTCAAAATCGACGGTTACTTTCAAGGCTTACGCTAATTCATCTAACTGTGATAAATTGAGTAAAATTATACATATTTTGAGCATTTAGCATTGTTTTTTGTTTAAAGAGTAATAAGTGTGAAAACAATAAGATATTAATTGCGTTAGTTACAAAAAATGGTTGATCATTCAACGAATAAAATATTGCCCATACCGTATGTCATCTGAGTTATTATTAGTATGTAATCTGGTATCTTTTCCTTTGGAAGAACCTTTAATAGTATTAAAATCGTATTGGTGAATCTTTTGTAGTTAAACACTTCCGTGATTTCATCAATGTAATCTATGTTCATGTAATCATGTTCATTAATCTATGATTTTATTTGAAAAAAATATCTGTTTGTTGGGAAGACACGTTCTAACTTCAAAGGGAGGTATATCCGTTACAGTGTATAAGTTTGATTTTCCTTCGTCACGTCGGGTCAGTTCATATCGCACTTCTGTGCCAATGAACAACCTTCTATCATAGTTTTGAGAAATTGGTTGTGGGTGAATGATTTGTAGAGAATTAAATTAAATATTAGGGAATGATTGAAAAATGGGAATAGAAATGAGAAAGGGTTTAATGAGAATTAGTTCGAAGGACCAGAGGTAAGAAATGTAGAGAAATGGAAATATTAAATTGAGATTATGAGTGGGAGAAAAAATGAACACACTTTTGAGATAGGAGAACAAGCACTCTGATTTATTTACATTCATATACAACATATGTCACTAATATAATAATAGGGAAATAATTTAATTTCATGAACATATGTTTGAAAGCAAAATATTTAAGAAATTAATTGAGCCAAAGATTATGAAATATAGATAACATGAAAACATAAAGGAAGTTTACTGAACATACCGGGGGCCTTGAATCCCCATTGGATTCAATAGAAACAGTTCACGAATCCACTGTTGGCAGGGGAAACACTTTGTGGGCAGATCTTCTGAGGTTGCCACTTGATGTTTTTAAGTCTATCACTCGCACAACCCCATCAGCCCCTGGATGAACTGCTGTAATTCGAGCGAGAGGCCACGAGAGAGGTGGTGAGTCCATATGTACCAGAACAAGGTCACCCACTTCAAGATTTTTTGATTTCCGAGTCCATTTGGTACGTTGTTGCAAGTTGTTTAAGTATTCTAGGTGCCATCTATGCCATATGCGTTGATGAAATGCAATGCTTGAACTAGATGCCATTGCTTGAGACGGTTTTCAGGAACTGTCAGGAGATCAGGTTTAGGTACTGCTGTGAGGGGTGCACCAATCAGGAAGTGTCCGGGAGTCAGTGCTGCGAGATCCGAAGGAACATTTGAAAGAGGTGTCAGTGGTCGGGAATTGAGCATTGCTTCGATTTGGGTCAACAATGTGATGAATTCAATGAGTGTTAAGACTGAGTTTCCCATTACTCGACGGAGATGATGTTTCACATTCTTTACAGACGATTCCCACTATCCTCCTTGATGCGGAGCGGCTGGTGGATTAAAATGAAAATTGATGCCTTTAAGTGAAGAGAATCGTTGAATCTTCCGTTTGGAGTCTTGACAATAAAGAGATTTTTCAACAATCTTGCGTAGGGTAGAGTCAGCACCAATGAAGTTGGACCCACAATCCGAGCCGTGTCTCACTGCCTTGAGGTTGAAGATTTTAACAGTAAAAGGCCCTGCATAATCTATGCCGGTGTGGAGGAAAGGTCGAGCAGGAGTTACACGAGACTGAGGGAGATCAGCCATGAGAGGACACACATTTCTAGGTTTGACTTTGAAACATCTGACACATTTATGGATACGAGAGCGTATGGCACAACGGGCAGACAGTATCCAAACATGTTTGTAAAGTAATGCCATTGACTATATAACACTACTAGATTGAAAGCCCCATGCATTTGGTTGTGAACAAGCAATCAGCACACTCTGGCGGGAAGGGGCGATCATAGCGCTGACGTCACTGACCAGTAGGTGCTGCCACGATGTGGCGGGCAATGAAAACATAGTGCTGTCTGCTGCTGTTACGACGCAATGTACAGACAGCCGACAGCGGCGACAGCTAAGCCATGCTAACCGCGCCCACGTGACTTGCCGGAACTGCACATCCGCTCCCCGCTCGCCTCGAATTCGTGTTGTTAGAAGTGAAGCGCGACTGATCATTAATTTAACTGCTTCGCTAAGAATCTGAGATATTAGACAGGGACTCGTATCCTAATATTTATCGTGATATTTTAGTGGTTAGTGAATTTGATTGATAAAAAGATGTCCTGTAGATATGTGTCAATTTCCTATCTAATCAAATTTAAAACGCCGATGAGAATAACTTAAATACAAATTTGCGTAATCAAACCCGTCATGTTGTAAGAATTTATAATCAAATATTTGGAATTAAGTAAGTGTGATATTTTATCAATAAATAAATAAATTGATTTATCCACATATCACAATTAAATTTTAATCTATTAAGTATAGTAGAATACATCCACCTAACATTTTGAAACTAGTGAACGAGCTTGAAATAACGACCACACAAAACGCCCAAAGCAAATAAAAACTGAAAAATGTGCTCAGAGAAAAAGAGAAAGTGAAATGACAGAACATGGGGGGTGGCAGAGCGTTCGTTCAGTTCGGGTATGGGCATTGCCTTCACACAATACCCGACAACCCCTTGGCTACAC